CTTCGACCGCCAGTGGAGCGGCCCGCAGCACCAGAGGTCAGTACACACGCGACACGCGCGAAACAAGCTACACAGTCTTACACAACTCAACATTTTAAAACAATCAAACTTAAAACTATACTAGCTTTTTTATGAAAGTTCTTTGTTGTTATTTATTGGCAATCTCAAAATCAAATGTTTATTTTACAACATAGTACCGTTCAGAGAACTTACTGGTGAAAAAATTTTATTCTCTATGTCTAGTCTATATATTCCTTAAATGTATTTGTTTGCATTAAAATTTTCTCATACAACACAATGTTATAGTAGCGATATAACACACGATCTAGAGGCACTAAAAAAACGGTGTATTAATTTCCAGAAACAATGATTTCGGTCGCAACGATCGCGAGAGTTTCCGCGGCGGGCGCGGCGTGGCCGGCATGCGCGGCGACCGCGGCCGCGGCCCGCCGCTCGGCGACGCCGCACGCTTCAGGGACCGCCCCGGCCGTGGCACGCACATGGACAAGCGACCAGGTATGTATATCATCATCACCAGCTCACTATACGTCCCCACCGAGGGGCTCGGAGCATACCCTAAGGGTGACTAGGCCATAGTCAACCACGCTGCACTGTGGGTTGACTTCACACATATCTATGAATCTCAGATACGTGCAGGCATCACGATGTTTTCTTTTACCGTAAGAAATTCGAAATTTAGTGTTGCGCCAATTCTACAGCACGGTACTATTTTTTTTCTTAACAGTATGTAATATATATTGTCTGCAGGCAACATGGGGTCTTGGCAGCGCGGCGGGGCGGCGCCGCAGGGCACGGGGCGCGGCCGTGGAGCGCCGGGGCCCGCTGGCCCGCATGCAGGACTCACTAGACCGCAGGGCAAGGTATAAACCCCATTAAGAGGCTATGACACTAGACAATAAGATCATGACGCAAAAACAGATAAAACTTCGTTTTTGTATACTTTATTACTCATTTCCCCCACCTTATCCTACTCCCGTAGGGTCGGCGCACCGGGCTTTCCTCCTCCAATTAACTGTCATCCGTCATCTCAGTCATCACTCCCTTCTTAATTATGTCATCTTTCATGCAATCTATCCATCTCTTTCTAGGACTACCTGTACCGGTGAACTTCTCTGTAATCATAACTAACGTCCTCATAACATGCCTATACCATGCTAACTTTTTAATCCTTATTTTCGTATCCACTGGGGCTATTCTCAAACTTCCTTATACTTTATTACTATTCAAACATATCTATTAAGATTCTTTAAATAAGATTTAGTAGTAAATTTAATTTGTAAAATGTTCTAAAACGCAAATAGAAAAGTTAAATGAACATACTGATTCCCTATTATATCTGTTTTACAACAATGTTGATGTGGAATTTAAAGCTTGGTTATTGTTTGTTCTTAGGACGGACCTAACCAAAATCAGAACCAGGGCATGAACCCCCAGAACCAAGCAAACTGGAACCAGTGGGCCAACAACTGGGGCGGCTGGAGCAACTGGCACCAGAACCAAGGTAATAAATTTATTGTAAAACTTTATATACAACATATAAATTTCATACTTATATAATTAACGCGATGGTTTGTTACCATTACTATCGTTAAAAAAGCCTTAATTGATCTCAATGTTTGTCGCAGATGAAGAACAAAGTCTGGATGAATACTTACAGAGTTTTTTTTTTATTTTTGCAAGGAAAATAATGATAGTTTTTACCTGCAACTACTCGCAGAATTAAAAAAATCTTCGTGACAAACATCTATCCATTCTTTGTGCATTTATATTTTAACTAATTAAAATGTTGATATGTTTGTTTGCAGGCTGGGTTAACTGGGGCAACTGGGGCTGGGGCGGCGCGGGCGGCGCCGGGGCGGGCGCAGCGGGCGGCCAGGCGGGCAAGGGGCAGCAGGCGGGCGCGGGCGCGGCGGGCGCTGGTGGGCAGGGCCAGTGGAGCTACACGGCGCAGCAGTGGCAGCAGTGGCAGCAATGGCAACAGTGGCAGCAGCAGCACGGCTGGCCGGGGGTAACACATCATCTTCCTCTTTATCCTACTCCCGTAGTGTCGGCGCAACAGGTTCTTGTACTCCAAATAACTCTATCATACATCATCACAGTCATTACATAGTCATCCAAAACATCATATGACAATGTCTTTGTAAACCGATGCCTAAACCCCAAGAAGCGGGGCGAGGTACAGTGGGCTAAAATCTCTGTTTACATAGTCACGCTAAGCATCATATGAAAATGTCGTTGTAATTTGATGTTTTAACCCACTGTGCCAATTTCGTTTAGTCTAGTCATCTAGTCTAGTTTTGTGAGCGCGGCCATAGCGTAAGGTAATGACGTCACTCGTTTGTGTTTCCAGTACCAGCAGGCGCAGGGCGGCCAGCAACAGGGCAATGTGGACGCGCAGGCCTGGGCGCAGCAATACCAGGTACACTAAATTAACATTTTTTGACATAAACTATCACTTGGTTTTTATTTGAATACTAGCTTCCGCCCGCGACTCTGTCAGCGGGGAATTAATATAAACAAAAGAAAGCCTTTGTGTTCTTCCAGACTATCTTTTACATGTATGCCAAATTTCATCGAGATCACTTCAGCCGTTTAGGATACAAACTCTAACAAACATCCATCCATCTCAACTTTCATATTTATAATATTAGTAAGATTAGTAAGAGTTTGGCGATAACTTGGAGAAAATAAATAAAACAGTTGTGCCAAGAGAGATGCGTTTACTCCGCTAGTTACAAGTTTTTGAAAGATAATTATTAAAAATCATGTTCCGAGACGGTAATACGAAATTTGTCCGTTGCTCTTCGAAAAGGGGCAGGCGCTCGCTAACATTTGATTCACTCTATATTTGAAGAAACACGTTATAGCTGAACGGAAACATCATGGCAACTTTCCATTGGCCCGATAGTGACACGACTCTTTATAATTTAAGTCTCAATCTCGTTTCTGTATTCAGATGTATGATTTACGCGAGCGTGGACGACTGTCATAATTTGTAACAGTGACTGCATAAGTAGAATGGGTCAAATCGCTTAGTTGAAATAATCAAAAGGGCAACATTTCGTAATTACACTTTTTGTATTAATAATTTTCTGTATTTATAGAATTACAGCGGTGGCAGTAATAACAGCAGTTCCACTCCCGCGGTGACGGGCGTGCCGCCGCCGGCCACGGACAAGAAATAACCCTATACAGATGTATATGAAGGGTTAACTCCCTTTCACTTTCAAAGACATTTGACAAACATATTAATATTTATGCAACCACAAGGATATTTGACCTGGTGGCCATAAGTCACATTAAAAACCTAGCTATTGCCCGCGACTTCGTCCATGTGGAATAAAAAAATTGACAATGTAGCAAATGTTAGAGATAAATTACCTTTCTGATGGCGAAAGAATTATCGAAATCGGCCTCGTAGTTTTTGAGTTATTTCAATACATACAAAAATACAAATCTTTCCTCTTTATAATATAAGAGTAGACTGTCAAATTCAAAAAATCCATATATACCGACGAAGATTTTTGACGAAATAATCAAACTAAATTACAATAGTTCACTAATTCCCTCCTTTTATGTCTATCGCCATAGTTTTACATAATTTTTAAAAACTAACCAAACCTTCGGTCAAATATCCTTTTTAATTATGCTATAGAACTCTGGGGTGACTATTGTGTTAATAGTTCTTTATTACATTTATACAAATACACTGATCTCTATAAATGGACAGGCTATAAAACGTAATATGTGCCTATGTACTTTCATCTTGGCACCGATGGGCACTTGTGGCGGTGGCGAGGATTGGAAAACAAAGAATTAAAATCAACAAGTGCATTTATTTGAATTGGGTTGACGCAATAGCTGTCATTTCCTGGAAAAGACCTATCCATTTATATAGATCAGTGTGCAAATGTCACTGCAGAATTCTACAATAATTATCATTTTTAAAAGCTATATGAAAGCAAACTTGCTCTTATGTAGCTTTTAAACCAACTCTGCTACGTATTTTTCTGACTAGTTCTTTATGAGAAAAAAAAAAATATGATAAAGCGTTGGAAGTGTTAAATTCAACCTTTTAAAATAAGGCAAATGTTTGAAGATTAACGAAAACTGTGTTTGAAATGTATTGTTTCTTAATAAAATCTTACTATATTATAGAACGTAATGCACTATTTTATATAGTTGCTGCTTCTTATGTTTTTATTTTGATATAAATATAAAAATAAGAAATTTAATTAAACAGTATGCAATTATTTTGGAATTGAATAGCACACTCACTGCAAGTTTAAAATTGTCTATAAAATCTTACATTTAATGTAAGGAATATAAGTAAACAATTATAGATTTAATATATTAGAAACAGATTACCATTCTTACTAAAATGTGTCGTGTAATTGGAGTTTATTTACTCATAATATAAGTAAAAAAATATTTAATACATAAATATCCTTAGAAAACTAAAACGTGGGTTTGTATTATATAAAATCAATTCATTGTTCTTTTGGACACTTCAGTGTAAACCCACGTTAAAAATTACTAATAAATATTATAAGTCAGAATCTTTAAAAATTATGGGTATTTATGTAATTAAATATTTTGTTAAAGGTTTTTAATATAAGAGTTTTTGGTTTCTTTAAGCTAAGAGCATTTTTCTTTTGCCTTTACAGATTTAAGATATTTTTCTTCACGTATTTTTCACATTTCGTGTGAAATGTCTGCACGGACTCTTGTGGTTTTATTTTTAAATGTGTAATAAAGTATTTTGTAAGTTAATTAAGACGTTAAGTTGAAGAGTTAACGGTAGTTTTAGATGTAACTTGGACCGCAACATGTATGTTTGTGTGAGTGTATGGGCAGCGCGGATGTATAGCTCGTTGTAATACAATTAATTGATATCAAATAAATTGTATTAAGGAATATTTTGGAGTTTTATTTTAACCCTAACAGGACCATAAGATGGCTGAGACTAAATTTGCGAATACACTACAATGTTTTATATATTTTGGGTGTAAAGTAAGAGAATATCACTAGAAGAAACAGCAGGTTGTATCGATTTCCTATAATATAATATAATGAAAAATATGTCGATTCCACGATAATTGTATAATCGATAAAAATTTTTGTAAAAGAAAAATATTTTCCAAGAGCGTAAAAGGGTTAAAGTAGTTTCCACCCGCGTGGAATAAACATCACTTTATTTAAACTTTTGCATTTATAACATTGGTAATATTTTAAAGTTGGCGACCAGATTGTGTTCGCCATATTTATTGTCGCAAGAGTGCTATTTGTATGGTATACTTTTGGGTTAGGGGTAACAAAAGGCGCAAAAAAGCAATGTTATAAAATGGTAATTTATATTACATTACGAATTTTATTTCCATACTACTCTCATAGTGATCTGTTAATGTTGCCATACTATTTTCAATTTTTTCTCAATGCCATAAAGTTGATATTTAATTACCACTTAAACTCGCTCGGGTATTTTCCCGTCTGAAATTGTAATAAAACAAATCATAGAAAACTTTACACATTTTATTCGTTCCAAAAAATTTGTCAATATATATTTTTATTTTGACAATTTGGGAAAAAATTTTAACATTTCAACGAGTTTTCAAGTTCTCATAACTCAACTCACTGAACAGATTATAAGTATTGAACAGAATAACTTATGTTCTAAAACCTATTCATTACAATATTCACTTCGTAATACAAAATAGAGATTTTACACTCCACACAAAAAGTCTCGATGTTTAAAAATTACAAGAACCTACAGAATACAAAATGCGAGTCTTCAACTGACGCAACATATTACAGTTGTCTCGTTTTTTAAAAGAGTAAAAGGGATGGCAATATTATTAGTTACGACATTGAAAAATCGCACAACGATTTCTGTAGTTTGAAGCAGTTTCAAATTCAACCCATTTACAAAAATTCTATGTAGAAAAAAAAATCGATACAATTTATTGACAGCTAGTTCTTCCACCTTTTGTCTTTTTCAATTGTAACCAAAATGCAATTTAAAAATAAGTTTTATCGTCTTAAACTATCCCGTGGAATTAATTTCGTTGCTGTCGTAATCTAAAATTGTACAAAGATAACTCACAATAAATCCAAACCATTACAAACTACATAAACATGATTTAACTTTAGTAAATAACGTGTCGATTACAGATTAAAAAAAGTATACTATCGAATAAAAGGCAGTTAAAAATTCTCAGTAAAGAATATTACTTTTTAAATATTTTTTTAATAATGTTGACATTGCAAAATAAGTTAGAGTACTTATTTAAGTTTGGTTAAAAAACCAAATTCAACATTCCGATTTAAGTTTAAACATTTTTTATTATTTTGATTAATAAACAAATTCAACAACTACGATCTACGTTACAATATGAATAATATTTTCAACCGTCTACGTTTACCATAAATTGTAGTTACTTTTTATCTATGCAATGTAACTGACACAAATTCAATTTATTATCTGTTATGATTAACCATCATAGAATAAAAGATGTGACGAACCAGACTAAAAAAAAAAGTAAAAAGTTGCTGGGAATTTAAAACTGCGATATCATTTACTTATTTTAAAAAAAAAATAAGAAAGTAGTGATTACACACTAGAATCTAAAAACAGTCTATTTTGAACACGACTAAACTATAACTTTTAAAATTATAACAAAGTCTTATTTTAATCATTTTAACTCTGTTAATTGTATAGTCGAGTTTGCCATGTTTAGTCAAATTTAGTCAATTTTAGTACTAATGTGTAAGCACTACAAGTATAAAACGTGTATGGCAAATAAATATGACATTTCGATTGTCTTTATCGACAATTTAGCAATCGACCTTTTTTAATTATTCACATAAATTTAATTACAACTATTGGAGGATTATATACAATCAAGAGCAATCTATAAAAGAATTAGAAAAAAGGTGTGTATAAAAAGCTAAGTCCATATAAAACCTAGATGCATTTAAATCGCATGAATTTCCATTATAATGCTAAATATAGTCAAAGATATCTGGCCGGTGAGAATCTAACAAAACATGTAAAGCCTAAAAATAAAAAAGAAATGTCAAAAAACAATGTTCTTGTGACACTTTTGACATTGACAGAGCGGTAGTGAGCTGTCATTCTAGTTTGTCTCGTGCCCACCTGGTCAGATATCCTTGTAGGTCTATACTATTGGTTTCAACTGCAATGACACATTGACACACGTCTGTTTTGTCAAAGATAATCTAAGGGATGACATATGTCAATACACTGCTGTCAAAACAATTAACCTCATTACGCACGGGCGCTTTTATAACGCTCGTTAAAGGAATTTAAACGGAACAAATATTTTTCCATTCATCTGATCAATTGACAGCGTTTTTAAAACGCGACGCTTTTTTACTTCGCATTTAAAATTTTGAGCACTAGTCAAAATAAACAAGAGTTATTTTAAAGCGGTCGCTCGTGAGACGCCAACGCTTTTACGCGGCGTTATAAAAACGTCCTTGCGAATACTATACTAGTGAAAGTCAACCATCACAGTTCCTACAAATACAATTTCTATAATTACAATTGTAACGAAGTGGCACTTGTTTTCTAGAATGTCCCTTACGACAGCGAAGCGGGAGAAATAATCACCTTTTCATAACAAAACAAATACATTACATTCATTTTAAGGTTATGCTTTCAATGAGGAAAAAATATTGCTTAAATTAGAAAACTGGAATACTCTCAATTATAGATGGTTAAAAAAACATTAACAATTAGTGATATTTTCCCCCGCCCGCGAAAACACTACAAATATTTACATTTCACAATACAAGAAAACGACGTTTTACAAATGAAAATATTTTGATTATATTACAAATAAAAAAAAATCGTTAAGTTTTAAATTAAAAATGTTTCGTGTCTACAGAAAAAAAAGCAAAAGGCTAGTAGTCGTTGAGCCAAAAATGCATAGACAATAAAACTGTAGAAAAATGGTTCTCGTTTGGAAAACGTCATTAAAACTGTTGGCGCATTATCAAAATAGGTTGAGATTTTGCCGACACCTAATAATTAGGCGTTTTATTATTATTTAACTAATCAAACCTTATTATTAGTTTAAATCTAAATATATGTTCTCTTTTAACTTATTATTTTTAGAAAAGATACCAGAAACTAAAAGTTAAAAAAGCAAGATGCTAAAAGAATTTAATGAGGATAACAATGGTTTTTGTACAGATGTTTTGAATTAAAGAAAATGCGGTTTTATAAAAAAAACTGAAACCAAACTTGTATTAAACATCAAAATATAAGTAGGCCGTTATATTTACGCTTTTTTAAATCAATACTAATATGTATGATTTATGACAGATGTCAAAATGACAGGAAATTGAAGAAACAGTTGAACATAACCTATAATTTTAGTAGTCATAGATAAAAAAAGGCGCGCAAATCCATTCGACTTTTAAACTTTGAACGGACGGATATCTAAACCTACTTATTCACATTTATTTGATTTCAAGACTAACAAAGAGTGCCGGGTTTCTTTGCTTTGTACTAAAATATGCAAAAGATATGTTGACCATACATTTATAAAAAGCTGTTGAACGCAAAATGTTATTTCCTATTATAAATAATAATATTGAGGATAATTGGTTTATCATATTTATTTTTTAATATGGACTGCGGTGGGTTTTTAAATAATTTTGTTGTATTTATCGATTAATTTTCAAATTTCAAATAAACCAATCTAAGATATAAAAAATGTGTCTATTGACGCTATTACAAGCATTTAAAATTTATTATATCCCTCTAAAATTGTTTTTTCTTTAAAAAGCAGATAAAAAAAATAAATTGTCAGATTTGACACATGTCTAGGAAAGTCAAAAAGTATCTAGGAAAACATAGGTTATAAATTACAAAACAGGGTAAGTGAAGCAAGAGTCGGTGGCGGCCATGTTTGCAGAGGAAAGGGACACACATATTAACATCTAGACATCCCTTTCACTCCAAGGCACTCAATATTAGGTAGAATTACTCAACAAACTTACACAAATGTATTTCGTTCAAAGACTTAATTATAATTACATATTAAAAAATACATAACCTCTTTGCTGATAGGAACAAAAATGGCGGTTGACAAAAGATTTAATTGTCGATAGAATTGCTTTAATTTAATATGAATTTTAAACCAAGAAAGAAATTCTACAAATTTTACCAAGGAAATCCCTAAATAGTAAAATTTATTGCTAAAACCGCCATTTTGTTGTACAGCAAAGAGGTGATCATGATCAATCACGAGTAGTCACACAGCAATAATTGGACAATGCGCCAGAACAATTGTCAGTTTACGCACAACACTTGCGGCGCCGCGCCCGCCGCGCCCGCCACGCTGCTGTGGACAATTATTACACATTATTATTATTAAATTATAAATAAGAACTTTGATAACGAAGACAAACGTATATGGAATAAGTAAAAGAGAATGGTGTCGTATCGTATAAGGAGGGCAAAGGTACAAGAGAACTTGAGGTTTCTCCAAAAATAAGATCCTTAAATAAATATTATTTTGTGATTTTTGACACACTATTACCATTGTTTAAAACCTTTTATTAATGTGTGATTTCATACCCTTTATGAAGAATTCTATATCTATTATTAACTTGTGATTTCATGCTATTATTATTTTGTGATTGTCAAATATTAATGTAGGATTTTTATACTCATTATTACCATAAGTTTTTGTAGGTACTATTAGCATATTTTATATTGAAGGAAGTATTATAAATGTATACTGACGGTGCTATTGCGGCGTGTTGGGCGAGGAGGAGCGCGAGTGCGCCGCCAGCGAGTGCTGCAGCGCCGCCGGCGTCAGCCACTCTCTGTAATCACATTAAATAATAACAAATCAAAACTTAATAATAACTATTATTAATAAATAAATCATAGCTTCGTTTTATTGAATTTAAAGATGTACTGTTTTTAAATTTATTATAATACTAGAAGACAGAAACGACTCCGTCTGGAATTTAAAAACAAAACTAAACAAGTATGTGTTCTGCCAGAATATTTACATCTATGACAAATTTCATGGAGATTCGTTCAGCAGCTTAGACTACAAACTCTAATAAACATCCATACATCCATCTAGATTCAAAAGTTTAGACTTTTTCGTTAATAATATTAATATTAATGATATACTAGCTTTCGCCCGCGACTCCGTCTGCGAGTAATTTAAAAAACCAAAAGTAAGTAGCCTGTGCGTTATTCCAGACTATCCCATACATCTATACCAAATTACATTGAAATACATTCAGTCGTTAAGGCTACAAATTATAAAAAACATCTATCCATCTAAACTTTGTAGATATCTGACATATGTTGTGTCATGGGTGGCATATGACATACTTGGGCAGACACCTCTGCAGGAATGGCACACAGGAGCTGACGTAGGCGAGGCGGTTCACCCACGCGGGGATGTCGCGGTCACACAACGCCTGGAAACACACAAACATTTACTATCTCTATTACATTCAAATATATAGGATTTTTTTTTATTTCACAATGTTAAACTCACCAAACAGAAGGCGGACGTAAAATGGTTGCAATTATTGTTCATAAGATGATACCTGAAATATAAGAATTGTTTTGACGTATGTTTTACAAGTATTAGGGGGACCGGAAAGTGATGTCGTTTCTGCGCATGTCGATATTTATCAGCTCACAGTGTATTTCGAAGGTGTGCAAAGTCTTTTTAAGGTTATTGTGACTTGTTTACTTCCAAATAATTCAATATTAAACTTTTTTTCTGAAATTGAATGTATGACAATTAGATGACTTGTTATTTGTGACAGTTTATTGGTTTTTGATAGATTAGTTGTGGTGACAGGTTATTTGTGGGGACAGGTTAGTTGTGATGATAGATTAGTTGCCGTGACAAGTTAGTTTTAAAAGGTAACTTATGGTGACAAGTTAGTTGTGATAGGTAACGTATGGTGACAAGTTGGTTGTGATATGTAACTTATGGTGACAAGTTAGTTATGAAAGGCAACGTATGGTGACAAGTTAGTTGTGATAAGTAAGTTATGGTGACAAGTTAGTTGTGATAAGTAAGTTATGGTGACAAGTTAGTTGTGACATGTTATCTGACCTATCACCGCGGAACTGTTTGCCAAGCTCCATGACCAGTCGCCGCACCTCTTCCTCGGTGAAGTCCGTGTAACCGATGTGCACGCTCTGTCTATACACGTACAAAACAACAGTATTATTATTTGTATACAAATTTCTTTAATTAATGAAGGAGACACGAGAAAAATAAGATGCAGGATTAACAATAAGTCCGAACGCAACAAAAGAAACTAGCTTATTTGTTCTTCCAGACTTTGCTCCACATCTATGACAAATTTCATCGAGATCCATTCAGCATTTTAGGGTACAAACTCTAACAAACATCCATCCATCTAAACTATCGTATTAATAACGCCAATAGCCTAATGGTTTGGTGCACGAACTACGGATCTTGCGGTCCAGGGTTCGAATCCTGCCATTCGACTATTGTGAACCATCCTAGCACAAGCCAAGAGCGTAGTTGTGATGGTTATAGGAAATATTAAATTACTAAAAATCTACTAATATTTTGAATAAAAGAAATATTAGAAAGAAGTAAGACTAGGCATTAGATAGGTGCAAATAAACTGTCATCATCATCATCACCTACTCAGTATTGGAGATAGGCCTGAAGCTACCAGTAGCAGTTAAAATGTGATAAAAATAAACCTGAAGATAGAGGTTGATATATTTTATAACATAAGGTGACAAACGAGCAGGCGAAGCGATCGCTGCCCATAGACATCCGCAATTGCAGATGCGTTGCCTACCGTTATATGACGGAGGAGGAGACGCACATACAGAGGATATTTCTCCTTCCTATACATCTACTCCACCGTCAAATCCACTTCCCCTTGCCATCCTCTCCTTATAAGAAAAGGGTGGTAAAGAGAAATAGATTTAAATTAGGCCTCCTATTACTATTAGGTCACTTGCTCAATTATTCTCATTAATAAAACTCTGTTATTATTTGTACATAAAATAGTTATGACGTGTACCTAAACGGTTGCTAATAGCAACGACCCCCACAATCCATCAATAACTAATTAAATATGAAATTGGGGGAATCGTTAATACTGAAACAATTTTTTAAAATTCTTACTTGTACTACATACGATCAAACATGTTTTTTAGTATAGAAAAAAAATACTATATTTATGTCATACTATTATAGACAAAGCTATAGATCAAATTGCCATGTGACTGTTCATTTTCGTTTTACATATCTACACTAATATTATAAGAGGAAAAATTTATTTTTGTATGTATTGAAATAACTCAAATACTACTAGGCCGATTACTAAAATTATAGCACCATTAAAAAGCTACGTTATCACTGAGTAACATAGGCTATATTTTTTACTTTTTTATTTTACGCGGGCGAAGTTGCGGTCAGTTAGTCTACACCTTTACTAATATTATAAAGAGGAAAGATTTCTATTTTTGAAATTCTTTCACCGTTAGAAATGTAGTTTATTTGGAAGTAACATAGGCTATATTTTTTTTATTCATGCGAACGAAGTCGCGAGCAAAAGCGTTGTATATCTCACCTGAACCTGAACTGTTCCCCCAGTTCCCTTTCGTCCCGCGGCGTTATCTCGAAAACGCCCGTGAACGCGTACGGGTGTCCCCCGTACGCCCACTCCGAGCCGTGCACTTGTACCCCACTGTGGAACACACCTACGCCCGCGCCCGCCGTATACCTGTGCATGACAATGTACCCACATTTTAATGAATTAACAGTACTATGTACGCCATCAAACGTCACTGCGTTCCATGTTTTACTACAATTTTTTTTTATAACATAAGGTGGCAAACCAAGCAAGCGGCCACTGAATCCACCGAAATGGAAAGCGACCGCTACCCATAAACATCCGCAATTACAGATGCGTTGCCTACCCTTAATTCACGGAGGAGGAGACGCACATAAAGACATTTCCCCTTCCTATGCGTCTCCTCCACCATCAAATCCTCTTTTCCTTCCAATCCTTTGCTCTTAAGAAAAGAGTGGAAAGAGAAAGGGACTAAAATTAGGCCTCCGGCACCACACTCATCAGACGAAACGCGGAATTGCTTCCACTTCACGCCTGTTTTCTGTGTGGTCGTGGTATTACACCGGGCGAGCCGGCCCATTCGTGCGAAGATGTTAAAGCGGGCTCTACCACTGTTAGATAAATTCTGTATAATGTATTTATTGCCACAAAAAAACATAAAAGGACTTGTTCTGAAGAAAGTACAATCGTGGCAAAAGGTAGCCAGCTCAGCGTATCGAGGGACTAAGCCGTTCCTGCGCTGATTAACATCTGGCTCCTTCGCACTCATGTAACATATACCTTAATTATTAGGGTAACCGGTCGAACTATTTACATATGCAGAAAACAAAACGAAAAATCACTTATAAAAAAAGAAAATCACGTGAAGAACATCATAGATAATGGTACAATAACGATTTAATTTGTATTAAAACATGGAACATATCGACGTTTGATGGCGTACAGTACTGTTAAGAAGAAAATAAGTACCGCGTTGTCGCATTGTCGCAACACTAAATTATCGGCATAAACGTCACATCACTAACTGACAGCTGTCAATGTCATTAGAGGGATTGGAAATTCGCGCGCATTCCTGGCGAGATCTCTAATGGAGTGTGTAAATTAATATCGCTAGTTAAAATTATATTAATCGTTTAAAAGTACAGTGGTAAAATGGATTTTACTGTGGACAGTACTGTACGAATTTTCCACTCGCTTGCCTATCATCACTACATAGGTCAAGTAAAGTTTCCGTACATCAAATAAATATACTGGAAGCCTAGTTTTAGTCTTTCCCTTCTAGTCTTTTTCTAACAAGGAAAGGATATGAACAGATGGACACAACGATACTTTTTCTGTTATTATCTATTTAAGAAAACAGACAACAAAAGACAAATTTATAGCTATTAGTGAGTACATTATAGTTTTAGAGCGCGCGCACATCTTTTACTAAACTATCGCACAACTGTTTAGTCTCGCTGCGATTCCTATGAGCTTATATGAAGATGCACACTACTAGATTTTTAGTTGGGCAACTAGAAGGCTGATAAACAATCGACAATCGCACAACAGTTGTGCGATGGTTTTGTCAAAAGTGTGCTCGCTCTTAGCATTGTAGACGACAATCTGTTAATAATAAAGATATTGATTAATAGCTGCAATCAATTGATATTGAAGTCAATGACCTGAGAGTGACATTAACCGTACAAAACGCAACGTCTGATAACATACATTAGGAGACAACGGGAATTTATTTAAGTGATTGTCTATTGTAGATTTCTGCCGAAATATTTGTAAAAACATATTGCTATTCAATCTCATTTTTTTATTTATATCTATACTAATATAATAAAGCCTAAACACACTACGTCGTGGTGTAGGATGTCAGCAATCACAGCATGTTTTTGAATAATTCTTTCTTTAATAAAAAGCTCTACGCTTTAGGCTATATATTTTTACGCTATTAAACTCAAGAGGTAAATGTATTTTAAAAACTCCTCATGTGGGAAAGGGATCATAAACTACGCGCTGCCAACATAAGGAAGCAAGGTTATTATGGTAACTGTAATTTTGACATTTGCAATTGCGAATTAGAGCAATGTAAATAATAAAATATTTTTTTTTATAATTTCACGCGGATGAAGTCGCACGGGAATAGCTAGTTTATACTAATATGATAAAGAGGATAGATTTGGATTTTTATATGTATTCGATTCACGTAAAAACTACTGGGCCGATTTCAAAAATTCTTTCACCATTACAAAGATAAATTAACTATAAGAAACATACGCTATGTTTTTTTATTTTACGAGGACGAAGTCACGAGCAACTGTTAGTTATAAATAAACTAGCATTTGACCACAATCTCACATGCCAGATATACAAAATCATAGGCTGAGTTCCAAGTTCCGCGGAACTGAAGCTCAGTTCCAGTTATACTCGAGTACCCTCGACACTGTTCTATCGAGTAATTACTGAGTCTTAAAATAACTGCACTAACATACTTTTAGAGAACCATTAATGGTACCAAAAAGATTTCACATACATCACTACATAGTATAAAAATTAAACAAAAAAATGGGACCCACTAGCAAGCACATAAATACAGAGGAATTAAGTACCTCCTTCTGTTGGGAAGTCAGTCAACAAAGACTCTTCCCGCTGTCTGTCTATGTATGCTTTGATCTTTAAAACTACGCGACGGGTTTTGACGCTATGTTTAATAGAGTCATTCCAGATGAAGGTTTATTTGTATAACATAGTAGAAAAACATTAATAATTTTAGCGGTTTCTAATGCGATGTAAATAAACACATTTTTGTATCAACATTGGACCCATGCGAAGCCGGGAGTAGCTAGTGTACATTAAAGGACTTCTTTAAGGATCAAGTAACAACTTTGATCGTGAAAGATGGAAGATGAATATACATTCAATAGTACTAGCATTCGCCCGCGACTCCGTCCGCTTAGAATTAAGAAATAAAAACGTAAGTAAAAAAAGTAAGTAGCCTATGTATTCTTATAGACTGTCCTCTACATCCATGCCAAATTCCATCGAGATCCGTTTAACCGTTTACGCTATTAAATAAGTAAGAAATGAGATTAAAGTCAGTCATTTTAAAACAATCGCCTATCCGTATATACAGATCAATGGCATAGTCAAAAAAAATCAAAAACAGAACGCATTCTCACCAATTGGTCCAGTACATGTCGTATACGTTGAGGAGGACGGGCGCCTGTCCGGGGCGCGGCGGGCGCGGCTCGCTGCGACGCGGCAGTAGCGACATACACGACGGGAACATCGTGCAGATGCCGCACGACTGTACAAACACACATAAATATAGACACAGCTTATCGTATTAGTAAAAAAAATAGCAGCGGTAATTTTCATAGAAAATGGCGGACACGTACTTCAAATTTTAACATTTTTAAACTTCGAACTACCCTCGAAGAGCAGACACTTATGGATAACACACATAAAAAAACAGACGAATTGAGTAGCTCCTGTAGGGAAGTCGGTCAAAAAAAGGAGTATATTATAGCTATAGGCTTGGTCTGTCACTTTAATATTTAAAAAAAAATCTTGAGCTTACACAAAAGCATGTGACTACAAAACGATTAGAAAATAAAATATGGACAAGCATTTATATCTTCCAAATGTGGATTTATTTATTTTTTACTTGCTTACAGCTTTTATAGCTTATTAATAGCTTACATAAGACAAAAAAAACTTTTGCCTTTAAGGTATAAGACGTGCGTGAAACTAATTCGATTAATACAAAAAAAATCGAAGCAAATTATATTGTAGCATTTGTTTGGTTTGTTTACGACACTTTTTTTATTCAATTTAGTGCTTGAAAGACGAATACTGATTAAATTTTATTTAAATTTATTTTTCAGCGATGTCTGGAAAACAAATGAAGGTTATGGATGGATGATTCCGCAAAACTATTATTCCAAGACCTTTAAATAAAAAAATTTGTAATATTTCTTGTAAAAAAACTTAGCAATATGTACTACTAGCTGTTGCTCGCGACTTCGCCCGCGTGGAATTAAAAAATAAAAAACGTAGCATATGCAAACAGGTAAGTTACCTTTCTAATGGTGAAAGAATTTTTAAAATCGGCCTAGAAGTTTTTATTTGAATCGAATACATACAAAAATACAAATCTTTCATCTTTATAATATTAGTATATTCAACAATAAAATTAAAAATTATTTATCTCTAACAATAACAGCATGTCAAATAGAGCAGACCCTGTTATCTTTATAATTAAACGTATACTAAGCCAGTTACGGGTCGTTTCCACTGAAGCGTTGTTTTGGCTTATTAGTTTGACTATCAGTCGAATGCTATCAGTAAATACCAGACATATTAAGTGATACCAACATTTTACAAACTCGTTTGAACCTCCGAAGGAGTCAAATTACATGAAAAAAAAAACTGTTACTCCAAACGTCTTTTACATGGAAAAAACTAACAGCCTTACAAATAAATGCGGTATAAAGTTATAAGTTTAGCAACATTTGTACTTATATTTTGCTTATACTTAGTTTATTCTTAACTTTTTTTATGATTTTTAAAACCATGTTTGACCACGATCCCACCTAGTTAAGTGATAACGTGGTCGATGGATGGTACGCGCTAAATAACCCGTAGAAATTGGTTTTCGGTATTTTATTCGTTTGTACATTCCATATGAAATAATGGCGAAAGTTCAGTGAAAATTCAAATGAATCGAGTTTTTTTTACATTTTGCGACCTGTTGCTCGTCACTTCGGCCACGTGTAATTAAAAAATATAGCCTATGTTACTCACAAATAAATTACCTTTCCAATGGTGACAGAATTTTTAATATAGGCCCAGTAGTTTTCACGTGAATCGTATACATACAAAAGTACAAAATCTTTCCTCTTTATAATTCTTTTTAATTAGTATTAGAATTTTTCTATAATTTTTATGTTAACAGTGTTATATTGCGTGCTTTGTACCAATCGTTTAGATCAATTTGTCAAGCTGCCAATGATTGTAACGGAATTCGATCTACGTGGCGTCAATGGTATTTATGAATCGAATATAAACACATAAAATTTGTTATGGGGTTTATGTTTCACTTGGAAATAAACATTTCTAATCATGTCCATTTTAACATGTGCAATGTGCATGCAAATTTCAGTTTTCTCATAATATGAACTTGGTGATAATGTATTGAATTTATTAATACAAGGAACTTGCCTCGATTAAAGCCTTATTATCTATTCATATGAAATTGGAGTGTCTGTAATATCAAAAGAAAAATTCTAGATTTCAGGAAGACAATGTATTTTCGCTATTGACAACGAAAATCGTATTCAAAAGATTTTTGTCTGTCTGTCTGTCCCCGAGCCGCGTTTTGTTCCGAGTAATCTTGGAAACGTCTGGGCCGATTTCGACCGGTCTTCCACTACAGAGAAATAGACTACAATATGCCCGCCTATGTCAGCTACCCTGTAGGGTAGCTGACATAGGCGGGCATATTGTTGTCTATTTTTTTTCTTAATATTGCGTGGTCGAAGTCGCCGGCAACAGTTAGTAGCTAATAAAAATACAGAACAAGCAAATGGAGATTTGTTTCATTATCACACCGACAGTCGCTAATTGATTACTAAGGGGCTGATCTGAGGGACGCTTTCTTGAATGTAGTTTCTCATCCTTAGTTCACCACCTATCGATTCTACTATACAATATACATATAGAAGAAATAAATAAACAAAAATTATAGCAATTACATTATTGGCAAATGACAGGACACATATAGGTCGAGTTAATTACATGGTAAAGGCAATAAGAGCGAACTAGCATATACGCGTCGCCGTGTGTGTAAGTGAGATAGATATATGTCTATCAGGATCGTGCCAAATGGAAATCAACGCTCTCGCCCTATCGGTTTAGGTCAAGGGCTTGATTTACGTATTTGTGTTGTAAAGGAAGTACATATTGAGTTTGTAATACGTATAAAATAATGTAATACAGCATAGAGTTGTTTTATACACAGTAAAATTTAATTACAAATTGACAGGTGAAAACAAAATGGTATTTGAAGTTCAAGCATGGCCTGATTTAAGACTCTGTTACATATTTAACATTTCATTATTCGGTCGTAAATAATTCAATTAGTATTCTTTGTACGTAATAATATTCATTTTGTATATCGTTTGATTAAATAATTTTTTAATAGTAATGGTCAAATTTTTGAAGTTTAACATTATATTAAAATGAAATATGTTTCAAAAACAATATCAAACTTATACGTACGTAAACGTAACAGCGGCGGTGTTAAAGCGCGGGAAAAATAACAGCTGCATTCAAAACTTGAAACTAAACAATTAATCTTTTCATTATAAATTTAAACCTCCATCAAACAATTCTGAAATTCTTCACATCAATTAGGATGGAACCATACTTTTGTCTCTCCAATGTTTTTATAATCATACTTCATACTAATCATACTAATACTTAATATTATAATTGTGAAAGTTTAGATGGATAGATGGATGTTTGTACGAGTTTGTAGCCTAAACGGCTGAAAGGATTTAGATGAAATTTGGAATAGATGTAGAGAATAATCTGTAGAAACACATAAGTTACTCGCTTTTGTTTTTATTTTAATTCCACGGGGACGGAGTCGCGGGCGAAAGCTATTATAGTATAAATTTATAACGCTGATTTAAATTATTTCAAACAATCCTACCTTCTTTGGAGGTTCAGTTATATTCAGTTTTTTTCTCATTTCTAATTATATATTACACAAATAAACACACATAAACATAAAAATATATAAATTATTGCATAAATGCACATGTTACTTACTGCACTGAAAATCTAAAATACTTTCAGATAGACAAGAATTACTCATTCTTTTCAAAAGTCTCATTACTAAAGCTGCACAGATAAGATAATAGTTTTACGAATTTATGGGCATGTCAATTTGTATGACATTTAATCTGCTTGATAATCTGTCATAATCTCCAGAAAGACCATTAAAAGTCCTTAACTAGTCTATGTTGTCAGTTTAAAAAAAAATCAAATTTTTTAAAACAGGCCTATTGGCCTATTAGCTGTATAGCTATTGCTATACAGCCAAAAGTTTAACACTTAAGAACTTCAGTATTATTTATAATTCTTATTCTTATAAAAACTGGGATTAAATTGGCATATTTTGTTCCTGTGTATATAATTTGTATTTTCACTAATGGGTAATTAAATGAGCAAATAAAAACTACAACATTTAGCGACTTAAAACTATAAATAAATCCATATAGTTATATTTGCTTGACTGACAAAATTATTTTGTGGTTATTATAGGGTGTAAGATGTATGTTGTATTATATTCTAGATTGCCAGTGTATAGTCAGTCAGGCTTTAATAATATCTAATCCTAAACATGCAAAAAAGTGTATGCAAGACATTGTAGGGTGCACGAAACATAAATTGTGCTAGCTACAATAGAAATTGACAACAAATCTTACAAGGTTAGGATTTTCGTGGGATTCCTCCTGCAAGATAATAGGGGAGTTTATCAGAGGGTCCCGGTCATCTCCGGGACAGCCCCCCGAGCCTCCCCCGTCTGTACGATTACGGCATTCACATTTCCTCATTTCTATGCATACTTCTGAACTTGGGACTGTAGTTTCGTCCTTTAGTATGCAAATTAATATTTAAAATTTAAGTGTTGTATTAAATATGTTAAAGTACAATAACAAGGTCATTTTAGTACTTTTATAAATAAATATAATAAGTGGTAAGTATATCTAAATGCCAATATAAATAGTACCTCAAAATCACTCTCTAATAATTGTTGATCCATGTCCAAATCACATATCAACAGATACTATGTCTAGTACTAAATGAATAACAAGCTACTTCCATTATCAGTAATGGATATGTTGACTAAATACGATAAGTTTTAGAACCTAAAATCTATCAGGCATAAGAAATATGTATTGTATGCAAATGAAATGTTAGATTAGTAGCCGAAATAATGATAGTATATAAACATTAACAAACGCCAATACCAGAACATAAAACCCTAAGTATCAATTACAACTAAAAGAGTAAAGATGCAAAATAATTAAATCTACTCACTACTGTTTGTTGGCCTTTGAAATATCAAGACGAATTCCATAGAATTAAATCTCTCAGTTAAATAGTCGGCTTCATCTTTCATACAGCAGTAGTAATAACTTTAGTATAATGTAAGTTTTTCACTGAAATATAGAAATAAATGTACGAAAATACAAAACGAACACAATGTGCTACTTCAGTGCTGACATATCTGACATTTTTATTGCATTGCTTGGTGTTCCGTTCCGGTGTTCAGCAATCGTTTTATCAAGATAACAAATTATTTGTAAAATATAGAATTTTGTAAGCAACGCTTTACGTGGTTTATGTATAACAAAATAAAAATGTGTTAAAAAAACTTAGTTAATGATTACATATATAAAAAAAAAAAGAAAAACTTACATTTTAAGTTGTTTCTTATGTGAAAATTCTGCTGTGTTGCTTGTGGCCAAAAACATTTGAATAAAAGAATAAATGTCTACACGTCACCTTCGTACAATGTGTCAGTGTGCTGTCAAAAAAATTTAAACAAGAAAATTGTGAAAATATCAGTCAATATTTATAATACAAAATGGTAATAATGTGATTTAAATGTATTATAATCAATCCTGCATATATTTCACATGAAGTACTAAAAGAATTATTGAGACAAACTTATTGTAAATGACTTAAATTTAAAATGTCTGTCCGGCACAAGTGTTTTAATACTCAATGTATGTTTTTATTTAATTTCAGGTACTTATAGCTGCAACAGTATGTACGAAAGCAGGGAAAGGTGTGTTATACAGCTAACATTTGTTATTGCATTAATTCAATAAAGAATTCGTGCTTAAATATTTATTATTTAAATTTTAGCGTTAGTGTCCCGACAGTTTGTGGAGATGACGAAAGCACGTATAGAAGGATTATTAGCGGCTTTTCCAAAACTAATGACTGGTGGAAGGCAACATACTTTTGTCGAAACAGAATCTGTCAGGTATATAATTACAATTTTATTACAATTACATTTGGTTATAAACATATTCTGTTATTGTATTTGTGCTTTTAGATATGTGTACCAGCCATTAGATAAACTGTATATGTTGCTGATAACTACTAAGGCTAGTAACATCTTAGAGGACTTGGAAACATTGCGGTTGTTTAGTAGAGTTGTAAGTAAAAGTTAATTTCTCATTAAGACTTGTGTTGCAATATGGTTAAAGATATACACTATATGTGAAAACAATTGAACTCCATAAATTATGCAAAAAAATATATCTAAACCAAAGTGATGAATGTGCTAGACTCTTCTTGCATTTCATTTTAATATGTGAGTATTGTAGGCAATTAAAAGGGTTAAGAAGTTCTTCATCACCAGCTCACTATACGTCCCCACCGAGGGGCTCGGAGCCTACCCTAAAGTTAGGGGGACTAGGCCATAGTCAACCACGCTGGCCAAGTGCGGGTTGGTTGACTTCACACAAATCTTTGAATTTCTTCGCTGATATGTGCAGGTTGCATCACGATGTTTTCCTTTACCGTAAGAACGTCGGGTAAATTATGTACATATGAAAATTCGAAAAATTGAAAATCACATTGGTACATGGCGGCGGGATTCGAACCCAAGACCTGTAGATTACAAGTCAAGTGCTTAAACCACTGAGCCACCGACGCTCTAAGAAAGAAGTTATTTTAAATTAATTTTGTATAACCATTCAAATTGTTTTACAGTATTAATACATTTATTACTTTAAAAGTAAGTGAAGAATCTGAGCAACTATATCTTAACATCATCATCATTGTCTTGTGTTCTTCCAGGCGTTATATCTATGCCAAAATTCATCAAGATCCATTCAGCCTTTTAGGCTACAAACTTTAACAAACATCCATCTAAACTTTCACATTTAAAATATTAATCAAGATTTATTTATTTCATAACAGGTGCCCGAATATTGCACTCAACTAACAGAGATGGAAGTATTGAACCAAGCATTCAATTTGCTGTTTGCATTTGATGAGATTGTTGCACTTGGCTACAGGGAGAGTGTCAACTTGGCGCAGGTAACAATTACAGACAAGTTGTTATTTATCAATCTGTCCAGAATTAAAAAAAAAACTAACTATCCTATGTTTTTTTAGATATCTATACTATTATAATAAAGCGTAAAGACACACTTCTTTGTTGCCTAAGATGTCAGCAATTACAGCATATTTTTCAATAATTCTTTTAATAAAAAGCCCTACACTTATGTCACACTTTAGGCTAATTTTTTCACGCCATTAAGATCAGGGGGTAAATATTTTGGATAAAAACCCTAATGTGGGAAAGAGACCATAAGTTGCTGCCAACATCAAGGAAGCAAGGTTGTCATCATGTCATGTCATTTTGACATTTGCAATTTATAATTTGACAAATGTTAAAAATAAAATAAAATTTTATGTGGATGAAGCCGCACGGGTACAGCTAGTTGTTTTATATCTATGCAAAACTTTACAGAGATTCATTCAATAATCTGTGTTTCTGAAGTTACCATTTATTTTATAATTACCTAGTAATTTATGGAGTAAACTCAACTTATATAGTTCGGAAACAGATTTGAGGAAGTTATTGCACAGAAAATACCAACTAATGGTTAAAAGTAACTGGGAAACTGGCCATGGGTTTGGAGATACAAATACATAGTAACAAATATTCATAAAAACTTCACATTTATAATATTAAAGATATATTGATGAACTTTATAAGGTTTTTTTAATCGTGTTTGATTTTAGGTTCGGTCATTTGTTGAAATGGACTCTCACGAAGAGAAGATATACCAAGCAGTGAGACAGGTAAGGAACGAAATTGAAATAGTTTAGAAGGAGATACATGGAATTTTCTGCCCCGCACAGCCGCGTGGAACGGTATGTCCTCGGCGGTATTTCCAAACCAATACAACTTAGGGTCCTTCAAGAAGCGAGCCAACACTTTCCTCAAAGGCCGGCAACGCATCTGTAGTTCCTCTGGTGTTTCAGATGTCCATATTGTTTTATTTATTATTGAATAATTGTAGACTCAAGAACGTGAGGCTGCGAATCGTATGCGAGAACGCGCTAAGGAGTTGCAGAGAGAGAAACTTGAGGCAGCAAAACGCGGACAGCCGCCACGCTCCAGCTCCGCATTCAGTAACTCTATATATCTATATATTCTATCTATACTATTATTATAAAGAGGACAGATTTGGATTTTTGGATGTATTGAAATAACTCAAAACTACTGGTCCAGTTTTTATAATTTTTTCTCCGTTAAAAAAGTTTTAAAAAGTACATGTGATAATTTTAATTTTAGTTGGAAACTGTATTCTATATATTGAAAAAAAACTGAGTTCAGTGATGCATGCTAATTTATTAAACAAAAAAAAACACTATTATTTCATTCTCTACTGTTGATTAATTTAAGAAATAAATATTAACAATTCCAAGGCGGTGGTTTCGGTAATTCGTCACTGGCTTCAGTGACAATGCCAGCGAGCTCGCCAGCAGCTGAGAAGTTGCCCTCCACACCCGTTAGAGAAACGTAAGTATTACTGAATCATTATAGACTTAGGAAACTCGATTGACTTGTTAAAAATGGTTGCGGTGTGAATTGAAACGACCAGTATGTGCTTACTAAGTGACATATATATATATTTCTCTTTTCTGTTCACATTTTTATAATTGACTTATCAAAAAAGGAACATGTCATAATCAAAACTTGATAAATATAAAAAAAAACCTTCGATACCTTGCACATATAACCTCGTTTCTATTGTTCTAAGTTTTATATTGATTACTAGCTTTTTCCCGCGACTCTCTCCGCGTGGAATTAAAAAAACAAAAGCAAGTTGTTTATGTGTTTTTCCAGACTACTACATCTATGCCAAATTTCATCGAGATCCCTTCAGTCGTTGATGCTATAAACTCGAAACATCCATCCATCTAAACTTTCCCATTTATAATATTAGTAAGATTAGTAGGTTTAGTAAGATTGCATGCTTGTCCAGTCAAGCGGCCAGTACAGCTATGAAGCTGTCTTCTCGCGGCGCGGATGTAGATTCATTCGTGTCTCGACTGGCCAAGGAAGGAGACGTGGCTGCGCTCGCGCCGCAGGTTACAGCTGTCGCTAAGGATAAGGCACCTATTCCATCCGATCATAAAGAGTAAGAAAACTACTAATAAATTTAACTGAACTATAATGTACCTTTGTCCATATAAGGATGATTAGTTTGAAGATTTAATTAGGGTTGTGTAAAATCAAGTATGAATATATCGATTATCGATTTTAACTGTTGTTGAAATCGATAAATTTTTAGTTATACATTAAGGATCAAAATAATAAAACAACATTATTATTACATTGTTATTTAAAGCCAAATAAATAATGACAAATACAAGGAATAATTTAGAAGATATTTATTACTAATACAGTTGTAGATAATCTAAGTAGAATTTATTAATATTGTTATTATCGTTATCACTGTATTCAATTATGGAACTTTCCTTTAATTTGAATAATACAATAATAATTTTTGTTCGATATTTTTTTTATGTTTAAGCAGAATATCGATAGTTCATAGTTCGATATGTTCCGTCACTATACAACCTTATCTTCATAGAAATTTTATTAGAAACTTCGTATGCGTATTTATCATAATCAAATTTAAATTAACTATATTAATATTATATTTACAAAGTAATGTATCTCTTCCAGTGTGCATTTACGTTTTGAAGAACGTTTGAGTCTGACTCTAGGACGTGATGGAGATATACAGAACTTTGAACTCTCAGGTAATTGTTTTGGGCAGAGATTAAAACTATATATAGAGGAGGCATAGTTGACACTTTACTTCTATTTTCATATAATCTCAATAACGCAATCTATTGATGTTACCGCATATTAATGTAATTTCAGTCCCTTTCCCTTTCCACTCTTTTCTTAAGAGGAAAGGATGGGAAGGAAAAATGGATTTGACAGTGGAGATACATAGGGGAAATGTCCTCTTTATGTGCGTGTCCTCCGTCAATGAAGGCTAGGCAACGCATCTGCAATTGCAGATGTCTATGGACAGCGTTCGCTTGCCGTTTTGGTGGATTCAGGCCGTTTGCTCGTTTGCCACCTTATACTATATAAAAAAAATTACATTTAAATTGAAACCAATAGGTGTTTATATTTTATTTTCTGACACTTTAGTTTATTTAAAAAAAAAATGAGCTTGTATTGTAAACTTGACAAAATGTAGTACCTTTCAAAGAAAGTACCGGTGTAAAAATGTTCACTGCCTCGTCTATATATTAAATGTCTTTGGTTATTGAGTGTATTTTTTACAATATTTTTTATTTTTATTTATTGTTATGTTTTGTTCAGGTTTATTGACTCTGCGCATAGAAAACGAGCAGTTCGGACGTATTCATGTGCATGTTGATAACAAGGATACAAGACCACTACAGTTGCAGGTTAGTAGAAATATACCTTACAATTTGAAATAAAAATAGAAATAGAAATAATTTTATTGAAAAATAAGAGATTACAATTACAGTTATACCAATTAAAAGAAAAATACAAATTTAATGAATATAAATGTACTTTACCGTTACAATTATAGTTTTTCTCTTTATAATATTAGTATTTTGTTATAAATAAAACACTGGTTACTTTAAAAAATAATTTTAATATGAGTGGGAAAATTAAGAATAAAGTCTGGCAGTATACAAACGGGCAGAGTAACAACACTATCTATACTTTTATAATAAAGCGCAAACACACAATTCTTTGTTGCCTAAGATGTCAGCAATTACAGCATATTTTTGAATAATTCTTTTTTAATAAAAAGCTCTACACTTATGTCACGTTTTAGTCTATATATTTTCACGACATTAAATTTAGGGGGTAAATATTTTGGATAAAAACCCTAATGTGGGGAGCACACCATAAGTTGCTGTCAACATCAAGGAAGTAAGATTGCTACGGTTTGTCATGTTATGTCATTTTGACATTTGCTATTGATAATTAGACAAATATAAACAATAAAATAAAATTTCATAATTTAATGCGGATGATGTCGCACGGGAACAGCTAGTTGTCTATAAAATCTTGAACCAAACTGGACGAGACTGACCTGGATTCTAGCTTTTATGTACGCGCCTACTCAAGTGGGATGTTCAGTGTTGTCATCTAAATGCAGTGTCGTAACTTCATGCGGTGTTGCCATCCTTCGGTGTTTTCTTCTAACAATAGATTATTTAATGTTAAATGGTATTTCAGACTCACCCCAACGTTGACAAGGAGGCGTTCAGGTCCAGCGGGGTGGTGGGGCTGAAGCAGGTGCAACGCCCCTTCCCCCTGCACAGCGACGTTGGAGTCCTCAAGTGGAGGCTTACCGGCAATGATGATAAACTGCCTCCACTTTCAGGTATTTTTATACTTTTTATCATAAGGAGGTTTTCCGTTTACTGTCTTAGAATATTAAAAAATATTTGTGTTATTTCAGTAAACTGTTGGCCGTCGGAGGGCGCTGGCGGCGGCTGTGACGTCAACATCGAGTACGAGCTGGAACAGGACCATTTAGTGTTGACAGATGTCGTCATCAATATTCCATTGCCGTGAGTGACGTCATATGTTTATTACAAGCATTCGCACAGGAATCCGCGTGGAATTAAAAAAAAGAATAAAAAACATACAGACAAGTTGAGCACCTCCTTCTTTTGGGAAATCGGTCAAAAAAACATAAGTAGGTAACCTATGTGTTCTTCCAGAATATGTTCTACATTTGTGCCAATTTTTTTCGGAATCCGTACAGCTGTTTTGGCTCCAAACTCTAACAAATGGCCATCAATCTATACTTCCGCATTTATAATATTAGTAAGATAATAAAATGTAAAATGTTAGCACATTTTTGAATAATAATCATTTATTAAAAGCCCTGCACTTTTATCACTCTATAGGCAAAATAAAATAATTAAAAAAATATGTTTTTTGTTTGTTTCTATTTTTGTTCTTCTTTTGTACTTAAAGGTTTTCTTGTTAGTTGATTTTCGAAAAAAGGCCCATTTTTGTACAACTTCTTTACTTACACAAAATGTAATTTTCTGTATAGATCTGGCAACACATCGTTAGTCGTCCACCAATGGGAGGGCAGCTACACTCAGAAGGGCCGCACTCTGCTCTGGAGCATTCCGGTTGTTAATAAACAGCAAAAATCTGCAAGCTTGGAGTTCACGTAAGTAATATACTAGAATAAGTTTCTTTAAGTGTCAATTTTAGATGTCTCTTAAATATTTTTAATGAGCAGGGATACCACGCAGTGCGGCTTAACTCTTTCGTGTTTCTTTAAATGAAATAATAATATTTTATTAATTTACATTAAAACTGAAATTAAAAGGTAAATATTTAAATCATGTGAATTTTAATAAATTTAAAAAAAAATCATCACAGTTAATGAAAACGTTCTCTAGTATTACTAAAAGGCCTTCGGAATGTTCTTCCGTCTTATTATTCCAGGAAGTACGATCCATTACTAATACAACTGATAGAAAGAGATAGATAATAGTTTGACAACTCCTTAGTCGTTTTTAAGATGAATACTGTACTAAAAGTAAAACATGTAGAATATATTCATTAGAGTTATTTATTTTAATTAAGGCAATATAATTTAATAATTTTTTAATGTAGTGTAACACCGGCGATTCCGAACGATTTCTTCCCGATAACTGTCACTTGGACGTCAGACACGTCGTTGGCGCAACTCACAGCTGTCAAAGTGACGCAAGCTGAAGACGGCTCCCCTGTTGATTTCTCGCAGGATATCAGCTTCCGTCCGGATAAATACGAAGTCGTTTAAATAATCAATTTCTAATAAGCTTTTTAGAGGTAAGGTTAATTTTTATTATAAAATTATTTACGTGTTACTTGTCAAAAGAATATTAATAAATTTCGCGCCGTTATACTTAGAGATTGTTAAATAAATAACTTTAAAACAACATTATCACTATCGTTAAAAATCTTCCATGTCTTAAAATGAAAATTTTTCATTCACAGCACATAAATATAGTATATTTATAGATTAAAAATATTTTTAAACTCTGTTTGACTTTTAGGTTACTTTTGCATATTACAATAATGTATGTTTGAATTATGAAATATATAATTTTAGCAATAAAATGTGTTTTATTTCATTCATAAAACTGAAATGTTAAGGCTGTGGTTTATTTCGTTGTTACTATTTATTGTATTGATAAGATGTTATTTTTGTAGGAGAAATATATTTTTTACTCGACCCCGAAGAAAAACAAATGATTTATATAGAAAAAGTCAAACTGGTAAGTTGATAGTGAGTAAATTCTCCTGTTATTATATTCCACTGGCAAAATAGAAACGGCGAAAATAAATATAAGTCTATAAAACCAGAGACAATCAATCTTGTACAGTTTTTTTTTTTAATGAAACCTGTTAAAAAAAACAATTACCTATTTTGAAGCCAAAAATTCAATAGTTGATTTTGAATTTGTATATTATGAGTTCATAATACAATAATTTACAACGATTTAATTATTTTCATTTTATAGTATAGGGTGACTAGGGTGGAAAGAGGGAGAGGACTAAAATTAGGCCTCATGCACATTATCAGACGAAAAGTTTAATTATTTTCACTTCACAACTATTTTCTGCGTATTTATGTAACCAAAATAAATTGCAGTATTCACAGCACTGAGTAACTATGAGATAGATTCGACTCCAGTTGCGGAAAAGAGATATAGATGGATAGCGCGGGTAGTCCACTCTCGAAATTACAACTACCCGCACATGTGTACCGCAGTGTGCATTGATACACGGATATTTATAACTGCCGCTGCTTGTATATCCACGTACGTCTACTTTAAATGTTAGTATAGGAAAAACACATGCCAGTATAATAAGGTAGTATTAGCATAGCTACTGGCCCAATGAGTTCACATCTGTAGCTGGCACATGTCAGTATTGGACATGCAAGTATGCTACTTGCTTGTGTATTACCAGCCTAATAGCATTAGAAGTTGTATTAGCTGTTGCTCGCGACTTCGCTCGCGTAAATTAAAAAAATAATACAAAGTATAGCCTATGTTACTCACAGATAAATTACCTTTCTAATGGTGAAAGAATTTTTAACATCGTCCCAGTAGTTTTTGCGTGAATCAAATACATACAAAAATAAAAATATTTCCTCTTAATAATATCAAGTATAGATTAAAAAATACTGTAGGTAAAGTAAACATAAAGAAATGTAGACGATATTTGAGATTTCAAATAATTATATTTCAGATTAAAAGTGGTTCAGACATCAATAATTTACCAATATGGCCGTCTACACGCGATAGCTTTTGTCGTGCCATCGAACGGTTCACAGCAAGCGTTTGATGATATTGGCTTTATAATTGTTGTGAAAGACAAGGCTATGAGATGGCGGACGATCGATATATTCGATACAGTTAACCGGACTGATGATAATTTTGAGTGGTTCGCAGAAATATTTGATAATGATGAGATTGAGCATAAAGTTGTGGGATATACTGTTCCAAAGGTAATATAGATTTTACAATATTTGGATGTAGTTAATTCACTTAGAATATGCTCGGAGTCTACCCTAAGTTAGGGTTGACTAGGCCATAGTTAACCACATTGACCCACTGCGAATTGACTTCACATATCTTTGAATTTCTTTGCCATTATGTGCAGGTTACATTACGATGTTTTCCTTCATGGTATAGATTCGAATCTGGACGTATATAGTTTGGTCAGATATAAACTAATTTATTTATATTTTTTAACAGATTATACACCATCTAGTAATACCAGATAAACAATTTTACCTCACGGAATTACCTGTTGTAGTTAACATAAATCTATGTCCATCAATATTGACGTTCAACAATCTGATATCCGGTTTCTACACGCCTTGTTATCATTCCTGTTCGGTTCCGGATTATGAGATGGGGGCGAAATCTTGCTCGTCGTACCACGGGGTAGAGGGAGCTGCGGTGTTCAATGTTGCCAGTAACAAGTTGCTCGGTGTTGCCACCTGGGGCCCGACTAATATGAAACCATTGCCAGTAGGTTTTGCAGTGCCAAATTCGGAGAACTTTTATGAAGATTATATTTGCGCGAAAAGAATACGTGATGATGAAAGTAATCATGAATCTGGATATCAGAAACTTTGTGATGGATAATTAATTAAAATGGTTACTTAAATGCCAGGAATAACTATTGGATAGTTCATAACACCATTGGCCTTTGACAAAATACAAAAATAAAAACAAATTATTGGTTTGAACTTTTTAATTTCTTAAATCAATGTGCAAAAAAAATCATTGTATCTTAAATTAAAAGAAATATATCTAGGAATCTTCAATTGGAAAATTAAACTTAAAACTAGATGAAGAAAATGTGAACTTAAAATTTTTCTGTTCACTTTTTACACTTACTTCTTTTTTGTCATCATTTTTTTCTACACTGGCAACATCAGGTGATAATTGATTGTCTGTTTCTGAACTATTAATGTTGCCAGAATTATCAGTAGTGTTGCTATTATCTATATTTTCAGGAGGTATATTAAAATTAAATCTAAAAGATTCATCACCAGTCGCAAGAAATGCTGACTTTCTCAAAAATGTAGCCTTTGGTGTTACTGGGCTGTCAGATATTTTGAATTTACTTGCCACTGCAAAGGAAATTAAATTGTTATTAAGAAATGATATCTAATTTCATGATTATAATTCATATCTATTTATTGATATCTTCAACACATTTGGTGATCCAGAAATTTTAGCACCAATCGTAAATATAAAATTTCATTCAGAACAATAGTTTTTTTATGTGGCATCTCTATAAAGAGGAGATGTAGCTAATATATAAAATCTGACAAAAAGAACAAATTTTGTAATCACCTATGTATGCTATTTGTAAGTGGAATTTCTTTATTTATGTACTTATATTATCTATTTAATGAACTGTCATTTGTGCTACGCTGTAAAGTACGGGACATACTTTTTATTAATTTCTTTTCCTCAGCTGCCATTTTAGCTCTATAGTCACCGAAATGTGTCCGCATTAGTTGTCTTTTCCTGATAATAGGTTGGTTGTTGTTTTTTAGAATTGTCAATACTTTCCATGCTTCTTGTACTGAAAAATAACATATGATTACATCAATCTCATTCTTTATTACACCATTACAAGGTATTTTATAACTCAGCTTTTGCATGAATCAATCAGCCCGAAATAAAAAACGTAAGTAAACTATGTGTTCTTCCGTACTATGTTCTATACAAACAACCATTGAACTATTCTGTGGATACCTTCTATCAAACATCCATTTATATGTCTAAATATTCACATTTAATAAGTAAGATAAAATGTAAGTTCGACACCACTTTAAGTAAAACATGTACAGTATCGAAAATATCTTTGATGAAATTTACTGTTTGTAATGTTAAGGTTATGTAAAAAAAATGTCTTAAATACTTACAATGTTTCTCGTTGCCTTTTTTCTCACGTAACGATCTCTCCAGCTGTTGTATACACCAACATAATTGTAATTGAAACTCCCTTGTAGCTTCCTCAGGATCCTTATTGTCGTTATTATCTTTATCCGATTTGTTTGCTTTTTGTATACTATTCGGTTTACCTTTACTATGTAACTTAACAGGTTTAGGCATTTTGATTATGGATTTATTAATTTTTCACAGAAAAATATAAGAATAACTTTTTAATCCCACGTTGTCTTGAATTTTTATGAAATACAATTCGTAAAATCCAGAAAATGTCGGGTGTCAAAATAAATGAAATGACAAATTGACAACGTCTAGACCAAAACTGTCAAAAACCATAAACTATGGTCATCCCTAGATGACAAATATTCGTTTTTTTAATCTAGAGCTGACTTCAAAATAGCTTAGAAACTAGTACTAAAGTATCGAAATAGTGCTAAAATATCAGTTTGTTAAGCCATTTAGTAATATACTTCAATTCCACGATCAATAGTTTCTCGTCTTATTAAGGCATATAGAATATTAAAATCGCCTTGAATGTATGAATAGCAAGTATACAAAATTACACTTACGCTTCCCTAAAAATTAGTTAAAGGCGCTTTGAAGTCACGCAAGAAGTAGCTAAAATGATGGGAGAAAAATCCATATTCGTTGATTGTGTTCTTCCATCTAAGCGTTTACTGAAATAATCAAGAATTAATTTAATGATGACGGTGCCTTACAGAGAGATCTATAGAAAATAATCTAAAGCATTCATTACAAACTTCTAATGACGACTTTAACCTTTGCCATTGATATTTTAACGATTTTGATATGCTAATTGTAGTTTCAAATCGGCTAATTTAAATAAAGAAAACGTTAATGTGTTCTTCTGTATAAGTAACCAATAAAACATCTTTGACTTTTAACCCTTGCCGTTAATCGCTTAAATATTTCTAAAACATGTCGAGAATCACTAGATAATTTAATTTAAACCGTTTCAAAATAAGAGTATTCGAATTGTAGAGACGTGTAGAAAATGATTGCACTAATGTTATTAATTTCGTTCATTAGTGATATCTTCACACTAGAGAAATATGAGTCAAAAAAAGACATAGGACAGGTAACGTTAAACGAATTAACTAGAATCACAGTGGGAAGTGGATTTAAGAATATTTATTCTACTTTTCTCCGAATTTATGGTCACTCTATGTGCAACGATTACTTTCTCTTTAAAAGTGAAATGTGCAAGTCGTTATGCGCAAGATGAAGTTTAGTAAAAAGACATGTTTTATGAAATAACTTTCGACATGTGTGAATTCAATAATATAGCCTAAAGAAATTAATTTAGGAATGAAAAAGTTAAATGTATTTTAGGAAAAAAAGAGAAGAGTGTTTTATTTACTAAGTTACTTGGTATTCGACCGAAACACTGGCCATGTTAAGAAAAAGGTACATCAAATTATCTGTTTAGTTATCTAAATTACTATTCTCTTATACCTAAATACGTTTTGTTCAACCATGTTATGTCTTAATTGCAATTAGAATTGACATAAATCATAATTTCATAACGTCGTTACGAATTTATTAATTTAGTTTTTAACCACATAAAACCACATGTAACATAGTTTTGTGTTGTTTTAACGGTTAAATGTTCTTATGTATATTATTGAGGTTTTTACTTTATTTAACGTTATGTTGGTATACTTCAGGACAGTTTGTCGTATTGATAAAATCTTCATATTGTCATTTAAAAATTCTTAATTGTTTCCTGAATAATAAAGTCTGGTATTGAAGTGGATTCAACATGTTGCATAACATAATCATTGGTATCATAACAAACTCATCATAAGGTTTAAAATTGTACAACTGCAATCTTAAAAGATGTTTGCTATGCTAGTGTGTGAATGTAAATTGTTAGTGGCGATGTGTGCGACAGATACCTGCGCATGAGCATTGCAGGTGAGTATGTACGTTATCGTGGCATGCTTTATTAAAAAAAATGATTTGAATTTTTTACAAGGAGAACCTTACAAAAGAGGCCAAACATAGGAATGAGAATTCTTCCTTTAATATAGACCGGTGATCTAGATAGGTAAAAAACAGGAGTCACTAGACGCGAAAAACCGTCTGATGCTGAAGCTGGTGATAAAAAATTTAAATACTTTAAAAAATTGTATACGAAATAACTCAAAATACAAAAGTTAAATACTTTTTCTTTAGTAATTTTTAAGCTGCTATTGCCGCTGAAATGCACGTTTAACTGGTGCCCAAACACGTTCTCTACACACGTTCCGACTGTCCCACAAGCGCAGGCTACGTAACCGTACAACCCATAGACAACACACAGCCACAGTCGACCGCGCTGGCCGACGCGGTGCACGTCTGTGCTTGCGCGCGCTTTTTGCATTTTAAAAAGTTAAACGTCAAAACTTTTCAACACACTCAATTTGAAATTTTGAACATTCAAATTTTAGGAATGTAACTGGATTATTTAAACGGAATAAACGTTTTGTGCCATAATCGCAGTGATGTTATAGTGCGAGGTAGATTGTAAGAATACAAAATGGGTGTTTTAACGAGGTTCCTCTTAGTGACCGTCTTGCTGCCTTGTGTTTTGGGCCAAGCGCAAGCCGAGTGTTTTGGTGCGGGTAGCGTCGCAGGAGCCGCTATCGGTGCTTTCCTTGGAGCCCTTTTACTGGTTGCAGCCGCTTACTACATAAGGAAACTGTATTGGAAGTCACGCAAAGGTAAGTGAGCTTGTGGTTATTATCTTGGTACTTTCGACTGTTATTTTTTTGCTTCAAACGCCTGCGGCGTTGTAAGATGAGTGTCGGCAGTCGTACCACGTACTTACCAAGACCTGAATACAATGACCTTTGTGGTTTTTTTAAACATTCCTCTTCAATACACTTAAATTAGTCGATACAAGTAATTACAATTTTGTTAAATTAGTAAGACATTGGTAGAATGTGATTTAGAAAACTAAAGTTTAGATTTACATATTGTTAGTACAAAATACTAGTGTTCCGTAGATAAGGTAGATAATTTGTTTTCCTGTCTAAGATTGTTTTACTTAAAAACATCTCAAAATATTCTACCTGCAGTGAATTATATAAAAGGGGTTCACAGAGTAGTCTCTTACGTCGTTATGTATTCGAATTTTAAACTTAAATGGTTAAGAAATTGCGTATTTTCAAAATGAGGTTTTTGTTTAATTTTTTTCCTAATTAGATGCAAACATTTTATTGAGCAAGATATAGCAAAATCCTAACAATGTACGTTCATTCATTAACAATATTTATACTGTTGCTATACAATTAACATTGGTACGGTACTCAAAATACACATAATTGAGGTGAAAATCCTCAAACGGATTTGATAATTGGATGAGAATTGAAAGTAAAATTTCAAGGACACGTAACTTTAGGCATTTGTTACACGAGAGACAAGACGAGAAATTTGAAATAGAAAACATTTTGAGTTACCACTGCTGACCAAACCTATTGTTGTCTCTTTTCCTCCTAAGCGAATGACTGAGATAACAATATGTCGATATTAAATATGTTCAAGTTACATGGTAGGCATTGAGTTCACAATGTTTGGGTTCGAAACCAATAATTGTGTGTAAGCGGATTTATTTGGCTTCGGATAATGGATTACGAATGTTACTATAACTTACAAATTCATTGGAGTAAAATCGTAATAGGCTTAACCCAAACATATTTTTAATAGACTTTTCTGACATAAACAAGATGAAAACGACAGAGACTACGACAGTTTGAAACAAAACGACATCAATTAAGGGAAACGTATCAATAAACGCATAACACTGGAAAAAGCAAATTTTAAGCTAGATTAAAAAAAAACAGAATACCAAGAGTCGGCATTAAGGCAGGGCGCAGTTGAGCGACTGTCCAGGGCTCTGTACAGAATAGCGTTAAAAAAGGGGGCTTCGTAGATATCTTGTTCAGGGCAGGCTGATATAAGTACCCGATATTTGATATGGCACGTCGGAAACTAGAGTATTCTTTTATCAGACGTGCCAACTTAATACTTATATTATTGCTTACCATTACCATTAGATCACGACAATATTTAACACCATATGAGATCGCAGTTAAGCCCTAGTTTGTTACGTTATTTTAACTGTGAAAATTTTTGGACCCATTAAACTAATGACGTCTAATTGTTTAGACATGTATTGTCGTAGGAAGTTATCTTTCTCGTATATTCCGCCGTTATATGATATCGGATACGATGACATAAACATTTTGTTGTTGTGAAAATAACGGATACTTGAATTCCATATCAATAAATTAAACGCTGTTCAGGCGACATAGCCTCGGAACTGAGTTTCCATTGTCTAAAATTAAAAAGACAAACAAGTTATATATCTCGTATCCTTTAATTTTCTCTGAAAGATTAAAGGTAACAATTTTATTATAATAAAATGTATCGGAAGTAAACCGATTTACAAAAAAAAGGTACTCAATTCATCTGTATATTTTTTTACCGACTTTCCAAAAGAAGGAGGTACTCAATTCGTCTGTATGTTTTTTCTTTTATTATTTTTATTTTTTATGTGTGTGACGGTACAACTCCGCCGCTAGTGGGCCGATTTTGATAATTCTTTTTTATCCGAAAGGTAATGCTTGCAGGTGGGTCCTATTTTGTGTGATTTTTGGAGTCAAAGACTACGACGTAGTTATTAATTTTTCTCTACACATTCTTGATGTTTGTTTATAACTTGTCAACATCCACGTCTACTGTACATAATATACTAAACTTTCACGACGGTTTCTCTTCGCTTATTGTCAGCGTTGTATATTTTAAAATTACTTTTTTTAATTTTTTTTTTAAGATTTACCCTAAGATTTTAATAGGTATTATTATTTTGGGTTTCATTAAAAAATGTTACCAAATTACTTTATTAGGACCTTTTTACTTCTAAGCGAATAGGAATGTTGGTTTAAGCTATATTTTAACGAGATAACGGTTATCCGCTAATTCCCCTAGTAGGTATGTAACATGCCTTTAACTGTATTACAGAGATAAGATAGTGAGCTCTTGTAAACATCGTTAGTCTCTAATTATACCATAGTCTCATAAAAAAACCTATTGTTATATTAGAAGGTGCTTAATAAGTAAAGTAAAGCGCATATAAACATCTTCTAACAATGATTAAGTTACGATTGTACTGCCCCTTTTTTAATAAACGAGCCATTCTGTATATGGCTTGTTTAAGCTAAAGGATACCCTTACCATAAATCCCTTCCCTTGGCAAATGTACTTCCTATTTCCATTCTTCATTCGAAGGTAAGAACGAGAAGAGAAATAGAATTGTGTTTTAGACATTTCCGACAAAATTTACAATAGGTTGATTGTTCTGATCGGTCCAACGGGTAACACACGTAGAATTTGGCCTCTGGCACTCAGTAACATGGAATAGCTTCCACTTAACGTCTGTCTTTCATACATTATTTGTACCATAATGAAGTAGAATAGATAGAATAGAATTGTCCTTTGACACGTTAAACGCTATGGGGGACACCATGTGCCGGTACTCAACTATGCGCTTGAGCCACATTATCGTTAGTCTTACCCATAGCCTGAACAGATGTGTACCCGGTGGCCTCAACAGAACAGTATGAAAAAATTTACGTGTTAAAATGGTTATTGAAACCATAGACATAAAGACAAGCTTTTTACACCTATAGTTTTGGTTACACGTTATCATGTAATGTATTCAAGAGGCAGGCTCGCATGAACGATCGACAACAATCAAACAATTACAGCTCTTGTTTCCGTGTGAAAACGCTTTAGTTATTTGAGTGGTCACACGACACTACAAACAGTGGTTCTCAAACTCCACACAAGTAATAACAAATTATATTATGACTATCGGTTGTGAAACATCTTTACAAGTTTCCAAAACATATGACCATACAAGTAAATAATAAGTACTTACTAGAAGGCTTAAAGAACGTTACACACGCCCAGTTTTATCTAAACAATCCTATCGATTCGGATCTAACAAAACTAGGCACTGTTCAGTTCTCAGTGCTGCCTACACACGTTAGATTTAATAATCTGACTATTCATATAAAACTGGATGTGTGTAGCGGGCTTAATGTAGATTAAAAAAACAATAAACGTCGCGTCGCCCCTTCATGTTTGAGTTTTTGAGTCCATGTTTGAGAAGCAATGGTTTGATCCAACGCAAAGTTATTTGTAGTATCATAAATATTTTCGTAATTACAACAAAAATTGTCTGCGTGAGCTATAATTTTGCATTGAAGTAAAAACAATATTGTTTTTTTGCGTGACTCGAAAATTACAAATTATTTACTTTAATTACAGCTGCATTCAACATTGGTAAACCTCACTTAGTAAGCTATTAAAGTCTATGCGTGTGGCAGTTCGATCATTACATTTATAGCAATACTAGCTGTTGCCCGCGATTTCGTCCGCGTAGTATTAAAAAACCGGACATTTCTCGGGGATGAACCGTATCCCATGTGTACTCTAGACTTTATTTTATATCTGTGCCAATTTTTTTTTATATTAGTAAGATATTGCAGTCATTAAAATATAGTAGTCTCACGCGACTTCGTTCGCGCGAAAATAAAGAAGTTAGTTAGCCTATGTGTTCTACATCTGTACCAATTTGCATATAATCCATGCAGTTCTGGATATACCTTCTAACAATCATCCATTCATACTTTCGCATTATAATGTTTGCTAATGAAAATATTCACAAAAACTATTAGATTTGTTAATTTCGAGTGTTACTTGAACCGTGTAGTCTCGTTTACAATTTTTAACGCAAGCGATTGTTTAATTGAATTAATTGAAAGAAAACACGAACGAATTTAAAGAATCCGTAACAGAATATTGATGTCTCTTCAGTCAACCGAAACGCACTTCCCACCGATTAACGTTTTGTACTTGGTTCGTTAAAAAACCGTATATTAACTTAAAACATAAATTAAATTTACAAAATACGTACAAACAAATAGGGAAGAAAATAATAACAGTTATTTTATAAAAGGTATTCCCATATATGTTTAGATAATTGAAGTGTAAACTGAAACTATATATGATAATAAAGCGTAAACACACACTTCTTTGTTGCCTAAGATGTCAGCAATTACAACATATTTTTGAATGATTATTTTTTTAATAAAAAGCTCTACACTTACGTCACGCTTTAGGCTATATATTTTTACGCCATTAAACCTAGGGGGCATATTTTGGATAAAATCCCTAATGTGGGAAAGAGATCATAAGTTGCTGCCAACATCAAGGAAGCAATTGTCATTTGTGCATTTGAATTTTGACATTTCATGCAGATGAAGCCGCACTAGAACATCTAGTTCTAAATAAATTACGAAATATTTATTGCCCAGTAAGCTTAGTAGAGTTTAGCAAAGTGGCGCAAACTACTTTTGTAACAAAATCACAATATTTGTATGTAGTAAACTAAACAGATTAGTAGACATTTTAAATCTTACTTTTATTGATATAATAAATGCGAAATTTTAGATGGATGGATGTTTGTTAGAGTTTGTTGTCTAATCTGCTGGATGGATCTTGATGAAATTTGCCATAGATGCACAGGATAGTCTAGAACACAAATACTTACCTCTATTTTTTTTAATTCCACGGGAACGTTTTCGCGGACGAAAGCAAGTTTCATAATAAAAATCCAAAGTCTTAAATAATTTTAGATAGTCGTTGTGTTACG